TAAATGGACTTCTAAATCTATTTCTTACATAGGACTTAAATTGACCCCTCCTAAACGAATGTTGTTCTAATAGAATTACCCCTTATTTTAAAAAAAAATTGTGGCATATCTTGATAGATTTAGATGACTAGTTCTGTACATTTGCGTATAATACTGTTGTAGCACCCTCTAGTGTGCTACTATAATAGTGTAGCATATTGCAGGTAAAATCATTGGGTATGACTCATGGTAACTGTGAGTCTGTGATTGAGGTCAGGTTATTGCAGGTCAGCATCCCAGGTTTGGAGGCCCTGGAAGAGTGGTAGATTGGCCCATAAATAAGAGAGAATCAGACTGACAGAGGAGTCGGGTGGAAGATGGAGTGCTGAGGAGACTGTCCGTTTTGGGAAGGTCCCCAAGGTCTAGGGGGGCCGGCCTCCAGGCCAGGCTTGGGCTGGCTCAGGAGAATACATTAAGCAGTGTGACATGAATGGGATATGAAACCTGGAACAGTGGGGAGCAAAGAGGACAGAGTGAGTACATCAGCACTACCTGGGATCCACAAGGGAAAGACTGCCACATGCAGCAAGTTATCAAAAGGACAGCGCTGGGCTCAATCCTTTATCCCTGTCCCGGGAGATCTTCCAAGCAGCCAGGAGGGCTAGTATTTTCTGCAGGCTGTGGAGCTGGGAGAAGCTCTGCAGGGGGAAGATGATACATCTGCATGTAGTTACAAGAAGCTAAGTTGATTTTTGGAGGGGCTTCTAGGTCCTCACACATAAAGGACTGTTGCTACTGATCCGCAAGGACTCACAGCTTTCACTGAAAAGAACAGTCCAGAATCTGCCTTTGTACATAGGAAGGAAGTTGTCCACCCTTCATTATTATTATTATTAGTATTATTATTATTATGATTATACAGGATTTATATAGCGCCAACAGTTTGCGCAGCGCTTTACAATATAAGGGAGATTGTACAATTACAATACATTTCAGTAAAGAAGGAATAGGAGGGCCCTGCTTGTGGAACTTACAATCTAAAGGAAGAGGGAGGTGATACAAAAGGTGTTAGCTGCGGGGGATGATCTGGCGGAGGTGATTCAAGTACAGTTCTTAGGTGGAGGTGGAGGTAGGGTAGGCTTCCCTGAAGAAGTGAGTTTTCAAAGCTCGCCTAAAGGCAGACAGGGTGGGGGGCTGACCGAACATGCTGTGGTAGGGAGTTCCAGAGGATGGGAGAGGCTCTGGAGAAGTCCTAGAGGCAAGCGTGGGAGGAGGGAGGTGATGAGGGAGCTAGAGAGGAGGATATCATGGGAGGAGCGGAGTGGGCGATTAGGGCGGTATCTGTGGATGAGGTTGGCGATGTAGCTAGGGGCAGTGTTGTGGATGGCTTTGTAAGCTGTGGTTAGTATTTTGAATTTTATACGTTGGGTTAGTGGAAGCCAGTGAAGGGCTTGGCAGAGAGGGGCAGCAGTCGCTGATCGATTGGTAAGGTGTATGAGTCTAGCAGCAGCATTCATAATAGACTGAAGGGGGGATAGCCTGTGTAACGGTAGACCAGTGAGGAGGGAATTGCAGTAATCGAGGCAGGATATAACCAAGGCGTGGATAAGTTGTTTTGTGGTGTCATTGGTCAGGAAGGGGCGGATTTTGGAAATGTTCCGGAGGTTGAGGCGGCAGGATTTAGCCAGTGAGTGGATGTGGGGCCCAAAGGAGAGGTCAGAGTCTAGGAATACGCCTAGCACCCTGGCATGAGGGGAAGGACCAATGGTAGTGCTGTTGATCTTAATGGTAAAGTCATGAGTGGGGGATCAGGGAGGAGGAAATATTACAAGCTCAGTTTTTGAAAGATTGAGTTTAAGGAAGTGATGTGACATCCATGCTGATATGTCACTTAGTAGATTTGTGATACGTGAGGAGATTGAGGGGGTGAGCTGGGGAGTGGAGAGATAGATCTGGGTGTCATCAGCATAGAGGTGGTATTGAAAGCCATGGGAGGTTATCAGTTGGCCCAAGGAGGAGGTATAGAGAGAGAAAAGGAGGGGCAGAACCTTGGGGTACCCCAACAGAAAGAGGAAGCGGAGCGGAGGAGGAGGAGTTGTATGTGACACTGAAATTGAGCTGAGAAAGGTAAGAGGAGAACCACGAAAGAGCAGAGTCACAGAGGCCGATGGAGTGGAGTTTACTGAGGAGGAGCGGGTGGTCGACTGTGTCCAAGGCAGCGGAAAGGTCAAGGAGTATGAGTATGGAGTAATGGCCGTTGGTTTTAGCAGTTAGTAGGTCATTAGTGAGTTTTAGTAGGGCAGTTTCTGTGGAATGTTGTGGGCGGAAGCCAGACTGTCGGGGATCAAGAAGGTTGTTGTCAGTGAGGTAGCAGTTCATACGGTTGTGGACAAGGCGCTCGAGAAGCTTGAAGGCAAACGGGAGCAGGGAGATGGGTCTTAAGTTAGTTAAACAGGTGGGGTCCAGCGAGGGTTTTTTGAGGATGGGGGTAACCAGTGCATGTTTGAGTGGGGAGGGAAAGGTGCCCATGGAGAGTGAGAGGTTGAAAGATGTGGGTTAGAGAGTTTAGGTTAGAGCAGGAAGGAGGCTGCAACAGTCGTGAGGGGACAGGATCCAGGGGACAGGTGGTGAAGTGGGCCTTAGAAAGGAGTTCGGTAACTTCCTTGGAGGTAACAGGGTCGAAGGAGGAGAGTGTAGAGTTTGGTGTTGGGCCTGGTATGTTGGTTAGAGGAGGAAGCTTGACACTGGAGATCTCACCACGAATTGTGTCAATCTTCTTCTTGAAGTGATTGGCAATCTCCTGTGCAGTAAGTAAGTTGGTGGGTGGAGGCAGTGGGGGGTGGAGTAAGGAATTAAGGGTAGAGAAGGATTGAAAAGGATTAGATGAGAGGGTCTTGATGAGAGTGTTATAGTAGGTTTGCTTAGCAGCGTGGAGGCTGGAGTTGTATTTGAGAAGAGCGGATTTGTAGAGGGTAAAGCTTTTCAGGGATTTATTTTTACGCCATGCTCGCTCAAGAGTGCAGCTGTGTCTCTTGATACTTCTGGTGTCATCTGTTTGCCAGGGTTGTGCCTGGTTCTGTGTGTAGAAAGAGGAGCAAGAGCATCCAGGGAGGATGATAGATAGTTGTTGTAGGCAGATGTGGCCAGCTCTGGGCAGGACAGGGGTGCAATTTCATCATAGAGGCACTCAGTAGCGGAGTGGAGAAGGTCAGGGCTGAGGTTTGCTGGTTGGAGGAATGGGAGGTAGGAGGCAGGAAGAGTGTGAAGCTGATAAAGTTGTGATCAGAGAGAGGAAAAGGGGTGTTAGAGAGGTTACAGGAGTGCATAGGTGGGTGAATACAAGGTCAAGGGTGTTGCCATTGGAGTGGGTGGTGGATTGTGACCATTGTGTTAGGTTTAAAAGAGGAAGTTAGGTTGAGTAGTTGAGAGGTGGCAGGGGTGTAAACATTGACTGGGAAGTCACCGAGGATGATGGCAGGCACCTCAGAGGAGAGAAAGTATGGTAGTCATGCTGAAAAAAATAAATATAAATCCTCCTGCGCTCTTATGATAAATACAACACTTAACTAAAGAGCAGCCAGCATCTATCCCATACCAAAAGAAGGACAATGAAAGAAATGCATATAAAAGTGATGCAGCGCTAACAATAAAGAATGATATTAATCAATAAATAATATATAAAGATAATGACAATATATATATATTAAGCAAAAACAAAATGATAAATGACCCAAATCCACAGGGGGATATGGAAGAGACCGTGACCCTTAGCAGACAAATAATAGTGGCTTAGTGCAAAATAAAGTGTCCACAGTTCATATTGCTAAGACGTGCAGGTGAATCACCGCACACTCCAAACGTGATCCCAGGCAGTCTGGCTGCAATGGCCTCTCACCTCCACTCTATGACCCCAAAGGGCCACAAAGCATAATGTAGATCACCTCTGGATCACTCCAGCCAGTAGCTCCTCAGATAAAGATGGCATGGGCAGTCATCACATGAATATGAACAGTATTCAGCCGGACCAGTGGGCAAATGGAATGTACCCTCCTCAGATGTCAAAAATCTCAAATGCTTATAAATGAGGAAAGAAACGCAATCCTCATAGTGTATTACTGCTTTTAATGGCCAAAAAACAACAATAAGCCAAGAAAACAGAGATAAATACACTTACATAGCAGCAGCCTGTTTCCAGTTAGTATCAATAAGCTGGGTGTACAGCATGATCAAAAGGTGTTCCAAGATGGCGCCGCGCCGGAAGTACGTCACCACGCTATTGCCGTCGACGCGTTGCGTCACGTAACTCGTGACTTCATCAGGACAGCGTGATTGGCCAAAAGTACTTCCTTATAAAGGCCGGAGACCGCACCAATCAAAAATGGTGGGCGGTGCAATCACGGCCATATTCTCGTAGTACAATGTACACAGACACTTTCCTATTGAATCTAATACTCGCAATAGGACAAGAAAGATAAAAACTTCGAAATAAACCAGGCAATTCATACATACCAATGCAAGGTATGTTAATCATAAAAAGACCTTAAAAATAGATGTGGAAAACCACATACTTTAATAGAAAAAATATATATAAAGGTAAATCTTAAACGCATGTCCATACAGGTATGACATGCCCTATTTTAATACAATATAAAAATAATAATAAAAAACGAAAAAAAAATATATATATATATATATATATATATAAAGGGAAATCCCTAATAAGAGACTACATATGAAATATAATAAAAATAAAAATACCATGAAAGAAAAAAATCGAATAAAAAATTCATTAAATGACTCCCTTGTAATCATGCATGGACTCTTACTCCTAATACATTTTAACAAAAAAACCAGCATAGAAAAATTATCGATCACTGATGAAACAGTTCAAATCGAACTCAATATTAAGACCCATAGGGGCAAAGGTATCCATCAAAAAAATATATTTAGATTCCCACCTGACTCAAAGACCTCACTTTATGGGTCCCTCTCCAATGTTTTTTAAATTTTTCCACTCCCCAGAATCTAAGACTAGAGGGATCTTGATTATGGCAAAGCCGAAAATGGTTAGATAAACTATGTTTCGGAAAACCCTTCTTTATATTTTGGACATGTTCTCTCAGCCGGACCCACAAGGGCCTTTTTGTCCGTCCCACATATTGCAGGCCACATCCGCATTGGAGGACATACACGACCCCCTCCGTCCTACAAGATATAAAATCTTTAATCTGAAAGGCCTTTCCATTGCTAGTAGCTGTAAAGGAACTCAATCTAGGGTTCAAACCCTTTGTGGCCCTACAGGCATAGCATATTTTGCACGGGAAAAACCCTTTCTGATCAAGAAACGTAAGTTTCAAACTCTTAATGGGGGGGTCTAGTACGTTACGGGCCAACTTAGACCTAAGAGAAGGAGCTTTCCTATATATAAATTTAGGTGTTAAGGGTAGCAATTTTGAAAGGACGGGATCAGTTATTAGGATCGGCCAGTGTCTTTTGAATACTTTTTCTATTTGTTTATAATTACTGGTAAAATCCAGAATAATTGCCATATGATCCTCAAAACCTTCTATTTTTGGTTTACCCATAAGGAAATTACTTCTCGCCATCATTCCCACTTCGGCAATCTTATTTATTATAATTTCTCTAGGATAGCCTTTACTACAAAATCTCTCTTCCATAATGCTTGCTTGCTCATAATAGTCCTTAATATCTGTACAATTCCTTCTGAGTCTTACCAGTTGTCCTTTCGGGATATTCATTAGCCAAGGAGGAAAATGGCAACTATCTAATGGAATATATCCATTACGATCGACTTTTTAAAAAAAAAGTTTTTGTATGCAAATTATTGTCTTTAATGGAGATGCACAAATCCAGAAAGTTAATAGATGTACCGCTCACTTCCCACGAAAGCTTAATATTTTTATCATTACTATTCAACTGATTCAGGAAATTCAATAAATCAGATTTCACTCCATCCCAAACAATGACAACATCGTAAATATATCTTTTATACAAACGCAATTGACTAGGGGGATTACGATCTACTGCCTCCTCCTCCCAGTGGGCCATAAATAAATTGGCCACACTGGGGGCAAACCTTGCCCCCATTGCCACTCCTTTCATTTGTTTATAGAATTGCTTCTTATACCAGAAGTAATTATGGGAGAGGCAGTACTCTAAACTTTCCAAGACAAATTTCCTCTGTGACCATTGAAGGTCACCATATACTCTAATACCCCATCCCACTGAGTCCATTGCATCCTCATGGTCAATGATGGTATATAGAGCAGACACATCTGCACTAGCAAGCAACATACCATCATTGCTACTAATACCATCCAAAAGTTGTATAAGGTGCTTGGTGTCTCTCAGGTAGGCCTTAGTTTTAATAACAAGGGGTTGAAGAAATGTATCAATATATTGACCCATCCTAGACATAACAGATTGTATCCCATTTACAATGGGTCGCCTGGTGGATTCAAAGGGTCTTTGTGCATCTTCGGTAAAGTGTAGATAACTGGTAATCTGCATACATCTGGGACCAAATATAGAGCTTCTTTTTTATTTAATATCTTATAATCCTTTCCTTTCTTGACCAATGTTACAAGATCCTTTCTAAATTGATGGGTGGGGTCTTTTGATAAGGGGAGATACGTAGTGGTATCCCCTAATTGGGATTCCAATTCCTTTTCATAATACTCCCTGGAGAGTATCACTATGCTCCCCCCTTTATCGGCGGGTCTGATGACTATATTGTCCCTTTTAGACAGCCTCTGCTGTCCAATATATAATGCTTTATTTTGCCCTACTTTCCCAAAATTTAGATTCTTCATATCACTATTGACCATTTTTTTTAAAAACCTCTATTTGATTATTATTGGCCACCTGGGGATTAAATAAAGATTTATTCCTTAATCCAGTATGGATAAAGACATCACTGCTGGCACTAGATATAGCATTCCTGGCTCCTGGCAAACCAAAAAAATGTTTTCTAACATATTTGAGAGTGTCTATATAAACATTGAAACCATTCGCGGCTATAGGAGAGGCATATTTCAGACCTTTATCTAACACTATCAATTCTTCAGTGGTAAGTGTGACTGGGTTAAGATTAAACACCCCCTCACCTACAACTCTCTTTTTCTTTTTGGCCTTCCAATCCCCTCCTCTGTCGGAACTTCTCCGAACCGGGCTGAGGTTGGTTCTGCCTCTCTCTAAAAAACCTTCTTTCTGTTGGGGTCTCGAGGATTCAGTATATTGAGTTCTCAATGGTTCATACCGATTGTACATAGGTAATTCCTCATTAAGAGGAAACAGAAGAAAATGAAACATCTAGATACATTGATTTCTGATATTAAATGCAAATTAGACCCCCTCAAAGATAATCCGGAGGCCATCAATCTTACAAATAGATTATATAAGGACTTGGAAAAAGTAGACCAAGAGGTAAAATGCAGGAAAATAAGGAAATATCATAGAGATCTGAATGATTTTCATAAAGATCAGGTTTTTAAGTGGCAAAATACCCTGGCCGAGACCGAAGTAGCATCAATTAGCACCACACCAGTTAAAGAAATTAGATTCACTACTAATCAGGGATTTTCGAAATTTCAAGATAATGGTTCAAAAAACCCCCATAATTATCCATCTAATCGACCTATGAACCATACCCCTAAGAAAGGGTGGCAACCACGTAATGGTGGGACATTTAAGAAAAAACCTTTCAAAAAGGGAAAACAATGGAAAAATAACAATTACATACAGGGAAATGACTACCCACAACCTTACCATGAATTTTCCTAGAAGTGAATATAATATACCCCCTAGACATAATCATCATTCTTATGAAGCCCCATCCCGATCATATCACGGACCCTCATATGGTAGAAGCCCTGGACCCTCATATGGTAGAAGTTCTGGTCCATATCATGGTCGGGGGAACTACCATCATCCCTATACTAGCAGTCCAATACCTATGTACAATCGGTATGAACCATTGAGAACTCAATATACTGAATCCTCGAGACCCCAACAGAATGAAGGTTTTTTTAGAGAGAGGCAGAACCAACCTCAGCCCGGTTCGGAGAAGTTCCAACAGAAGAGGGGATGTAGAGGGGGTTGGAAGGCCAAAAAGAAAAAGAGAGTTGTAGGTGAGGGGGTGTTTAATCTTAGCCCAGTCACACTTACCACTGAAGAATTGTTAGTGTTAGATAAAGGTCTGAAATATGCCCCTCCTATAGCCGCGAATGGTTTCAATGTTTATATAGACACTCTCAAATATGTTAGAAAACATTTTTTTGGTTTGCCAGGAGCCAGGAATGCTATATCTAGTGCCAGCAGTGATGTCTTTATCCATACTGGATTAAGGAATAAATCTTTATTTAATCCCCAGGTGGCCAATAATAATCAAATAGAGGTTTTTTAAAAAAATGGTCAATAGTGATATGAAGAATCTAAATTTTGGGAAAGTAGGGCAAAATAAAGCATTATATATTGGACAGCAGAGGCTGTCTAAAAGGGACAATATAGTCATCAGACCCGCCGATAAAGGGGGGAGCATAGTGATACTCTCCAGGGAGTATTATGAAAAGGAATTGGAATCCCAATTAGGGGATACCACTACGTATCTCCCCTTATCAAAAGACCCCACCCATCAATTTAGAAAGGATCTTGTAACATTGGTCAAGAAAGGAAAGGATTATAAGATATTAAATAAAAAAGAAGCTCTATATTTGGTCCCAGATGTATGCAGATTACCAGTTATCTACACTTTACCGAAGATGCACAAAGACCCTTTGAATCCACCAGGGCGACCCATTGTAAATGGGATACAATCTGTTATGTCTAGGATGGGTCAATATATTGATACATTTCTTCAACCCCTTGTTATTAAAACTAAGGCCTACCTGAGAGACACCAAGCACCTTATACAACTTTTGGATGGTATTAGAAGCAATGATGGTATGTTGCTTGCTAGTGCAGATGTGTCTGCTCTATATACCATCATTGACCATGAGGATGCAATGGACTCAGTGGGATGGGGTATTAGAGTATATGGTGACCTTCAATGGTCACAGAGGAAATTTGTCTTGGAAAGTTTAGAGTACTGCCTCTCCCATAATTACTTCTGGTATAAGAAGCAATTCTATAAACAAATGAAAGGAGTGGCAATGGGGGCAAGGTTTGCCCCCAGTGTGGCCAATTTATTTATGGCCCACTGGGAGGAGGAGGCAGTAGATCGTAATCCCCCTAGTCAATTGCGTTTGTATAAAAGATATATTGACGATGTTGTCATTGTTTGGGATGGAGTGGAATCTGATTTATTGAATTTCCTGAATCAGTTGAATAGTAATGATAAAAATATTAAGCTGTCAGTACTGTACCGCGCTCCAATATATACAACTCTCAATAATAATAAAAATCTAATTTTCTATAATAATGTTATTAAATAACTCCGTGTATCTTCAATATATCAGTAATTAAATATATTAATCCAACTAAAAATTATAATTGATAACACCATTAATTCATATATAAAAAGTGAAAAAAAGTGAAAAAAAATATGAAAAAATATATTGTGCATATAAACCAGAATAAATATATATGGAAATGACAATTCAGTTCATCAGAGATGCGATGGTATTTAAAGTTCAAACTAATCTGTATGATGGATCAGTGTTCACAGCCGTGAACCTCTCCCTCCTTTCTTCTCTCCTCTCTCCCCAACACAGCCTCCTCAATAGAACTTTTTCCACTGGCTGCTTATTCATCCATGCTCGATACATATAAAGAGAGAAACAGAGACATAGTGTCTTATCCGGGATAAAAGTTATTTATTTAAAGCTATTGGTTTCCCACTCACATGCTCCAAACAAAAGTAGCGCTTTGTGTGCAAATGTATCCAAAAAGTATCCAGATCCTACTATACAACCAGCCTTGCAGGTGTGTCTGCCTTCACTGAATGTGCTTGCCGTTCCTCCGTGGATGCGTGATGACGTCACCGCCCCTCCCCTACGCGTTACGCTACAGGGACTCGTAGCTTCCTCTGGGGGATGTAGTTTATCTACATAAACTACATCCCCCAGAGGAAGCTACGAGTCCCTGTAGCGTAACGCGTAGGGGAGGGGCGGTGACGTCATCACGCATCCACGGAGGAACGGCAAGCACATTCAGTGAAGGCAGACACACCTGCAAGGCTGGTTGTATAGTAGGATCTGGATACTTTTTGGATACATTTGCACACAAAGCGCTACTTTTGTTTGGAGCATGTGAGTGGGAAACCAATAGCTTTAAATAAATAACTTTTATCCCGGATAAGACACTATGTCTCTGTTTCTCTCTTTATATGTATCGAGCATGGATGAATAAGCAGCCAGTGGAAAAAGTTCTATTGAGGAGGCTGTGTTGGGGAGAGAGGAGAGAAGAAAGGAGGGAGAGGTTCACGGCTGTGAACACTGATCCATCATACAGATTAGTTTGAACTTTAAATACCATCGCATCTCTGATGAACTGAATTGTCATTTCCATATATATTTATTCTGGTTTATATGCACAATATATTTTTTCATATTTTTTTTCACTTTTTTTTCACTTTTTATATATGAATTAATGGTGTTATCAATTATAATTTTTAGTTGGATTAATATATTTAATTACTGATATATTGAAGATACACGGAGTTATTTAATAACATTATTATAGAAAATTAGATTTTTATTATTATTGAGAGTTGTATATATTGGAGCGCGGTACAGTACTGACATCTAATATATACATCCATACACCTGGAGAGGGTGTAATAAGTACCTAGCGATCTAATATATTTTAATTTTATAAAGGAATTATTTAAACACTTGATTAATTAAATTAGAAAGTATCACAGTTACAAAATAATCACATGATTATCATATAAGCACATAAATAATTTAAGTGTAAGAATACTTCCAGTGGCTCACAAGTATTTATTTTAATTTTAAAAATATTAAGCTTTCGTGGGAAGTGAGCGGTACATCTATTAACTTTCTGGATTTGTGCATCTCCATTAAAGACAATAATTTGCATACAAAAACTTTTTTCAAAAAAGTCGATCGTAATGGATATATTCCATTAGATAGTTGCCATTTTCCTCCTTGGCTAATGAATATCCCGAAAGGACAACTGGTAAGACTCAGAAGGAATTGTACAGATATTAAGGACTATTATGAGCAAGCAAGCATTATGGAAGAGAGATTTTGTAGTAAAGGCTATCCTAGAGAAATTATAATAAATAAGATTGCCGAAGTGGGAATGATGGCGAGAAGTAATTTCCTTATGGATAAACCAAAAATAGAAGGTTTTTGAGGATCATATGGCAATTATTCTGGATTTTTTTACCAGTAATTAAAACAAATAGAAAAAGTATTCAAAAGACACTGGCCGATCCTAATAACTGATCCCGTCCTTTCAAAATTGCTACCCTTAACACCTAAATTTATATATAGGAAGGCTCCTTCTCTTAGGTCTACGTTGGTCCGTAACGTACTAGACCCCCCATTAAGAGTTTGAAAGTTACGTTTTCTTGATCAGAAAGGGTTTTTCCCGTGCAAAATATGCTATGCCTGTAGGGCCACAAAGGGTTTGAACCCTAGATTGAGTTCCTTTACAGCTACTAGCAATGGAAAGGCCTTTCAGATTAAAGATTTTATATCTTGTAGGACAGAGGGGGTCGTGTATGTCCTCCAATGCGGATGTGGCCTGCAATATGTGGGACGGACAAAAAGGCCCTTGTGGGTCCGGCTGAGAGAAACATGTCCAAAATATAAAAGAAGGGTTTTCCGAAACATAGTTTATCTAACCATTTTTCGGCTTTGCCATAATCAAGATCCCTCTAGTCTTAGATTCTGGGGAGTGGAAAAATTTAAAAAACATTGGAGAGGAACCCATAAAGTGAGGTCTTTGAGTCAGGTGGAATCTAAATATATTTTTTTTGATGGATACCTTTGCCCCTATGGGTCTTAATATTGAGTTCGATTTGAACTGTTTCATCAGTGATCGATAATTTTTCTATGCTGGTTTTTTTGTTAAAATGTATTAGGAGTAAAGAGTCCATGCATGATTACAAGGGAGTCATTTAATGAATTTTTTATTCGATTTTTTTTCTTTCATGGTATTTTATTTGTATTATATATTTCATATGTAGCCTTTTATTAGGGATTTCCCTTTATATATATATATTTTTTTTAGTTTTTTTATTATTATTTTATATTGTATTAAAATAGGGCATGTCATACCTGTATGGACATGCGTTTAAGATTTACCTTTATATATATTTTTTCTATTAAAGTATGTGGTTTTCCACATCTATTTTTAAGGTCTTTTTATGATTAACATACCTTGCATTGGTATGTATGAATTGCCTGGTTTATTTCGAAGTTTTTATCTTTCTTGTCCTATTGCGAGTATTAGATTCAATAGGAAAGTGTCTGTGTACATTGTACTACGAGAATATGGCCGTGATTGCACCGCCCACCATTTTTGATTAGTGCGGTCTCCGGCCTTTATAAGGAAGTAATTTTGGCCAATCACGCTGTCCTGACAAAGTCACGAGTTACGTGACGCAACGCGTCGACGGCAATAGCGCGGTGACGTATTTCCGGCGCGGCGCCATCTTGGAACACCTTTTGATCATGCTGTACACCCAGCTTATTGATACTAACTGGAAACAGGCTGCTGCTATGTAAGTGTATTTATCTCTGTTTTCTTGGCTTATTGTTGTTTTTTGGCCATTAAAAGCAGTAATACACTATGAGGATTGTGTTTCTTTCCTCATTTATGAGCATTTGAGCTTTTTGACATCTGAGGAGGGTACATTCCATTTGCCCACTGGTCCGGCTGAATACTGTTCATATCATGTGATGACTGCCCATGCCATCTTTATCTGAGGAGCTACTGGCTGGAGTGATCCAGAGGTGATCTACATTATGCTTTGTGGCCCTTTGGGGTCATAGAGTGGAGGTGAGAGGCCATTGCAGCCAGACTGCCTGGGATCACGTTTGGAGTGTGCGGTGATTCACCTTGCACGTCTTAGCAATATGAACTGTGGACACTTTATTTTGCACTAAGCCACTATTATTTGTCTGCTAAGGGTCACGGTCTCTTCCGTATCCCCCTGTGGATTTGGTCATTTATCATTTGTTTTTGCTTAATATATATATATAATTGTCATTATCTTTATATATTATTTATTGATTAATATCATTCTTTATTGTTAGCGCTGCATCACTTTTATATGCATTTCAGCCATGCTGAAAAGTCATCGAGAAAAGCGTGGAAACTGGGCCCGGGGGCCGGTAGATGACAGCGATCCTCAGACAAACAGGAGAAAAGAGACGAATACAGTGCACTTCAAAAGAGCGGAGGGACAGAGATAGAGGGGCAGGAAGAACCTGGAACGTGCTTCGTGGGGAAAGAAGTAGTCCAACTCTGCCCCCTTTTCGTCCGCTGGGTCTGGGCGAGTGAGTCCAGAGGAGGAGACAGAGTCGGAATCTTGGAGCCAGGTTTCAGTAATAGCAAGAAGGTTGAGGGAGTGGGAGAGGTCATTGATAGTAGAGAGTTTTTTAGAATCTGAGCGAGCATTCCAGAGGGCACATAGGAGGGAGGGGTTGGTGTGTGGAAGAAAGGGGAATTGAGATGAGAGAGTGAGGGTTGTGGCTGCGGCCAGAGAGGGCAGGGCTGCTGCTTCTGTGGGTTGGAGTTTGATGGTGGAGGGCCAGGGTTTGGGGCAATGTCTCCAGAAGTTAGTAGTAATAGGAGGGTGAGGGAGGTGAGGTGGGAGTGAGATTTATATGAGGGCAAATGCTGCAGTGCTTTTGTAGCGGTGACATTATGTGGACCAAGACAGAGCAGGAGATAAGTGCATTGATATTGAGAGGGCAGAAGTGAG